ATTCATTCATTCATTCATTCATTGATACCAAGGATTGAACTCGGGTCCTTGCGCTTGCAAAGCAGGCCACTGAACCGCTGAGCTAAATCCCTGGCCCAGATTTTTATATTTTGACCCTTGCTTTGAAGGACAAGGATCTTTTTTTTTTTTGGTACTGGGGATTGAACTCAGGACCTTGTACTACAAGGCAGGCAGCAGAACCATTGAACTAAAGGATCTTTTTTTGAGCATATGATAAAAATCACTGATAGGAATAGTATGCTGTTATTGGTTGTTTTCCCTTTATGGGCATTAAGTAAAATTTCCCAATTATATATATCAGTATATATCTATAGCTATATCTGTAGATACATGTTTTATTTTAAATCTTGATCTGGAGAAGATACTAGTTTTTTTTTATGAAATCTAGCATGAGGACATAGATTGCTTCCTAAAATATTTATAGAGTATAAGGTGTGGCATTCGCTGAAAAAAATTCAGATTGAATTCTTTTTTTTTTTTTTGGTATCGGGGATCGAACTTGGGTCCTCGCACTTGCAAGGCAAGCGGCGGAACCCCTGAGCTAAATCCCCGGCCCTAGATTGAATTCTGAAAGCCTAGGTGGTATAATGTAAAACCAAATCATCCCAATAAAAACACAGATTTAAGTAAAACAAGTTTCTGGGGATATAGGGGGCCACACTGCATCATGGGCAGCCGTGCCTTCTGTTTGGCCTAGTGTAGTTTATACCTATTGTCTAGGTGTGATTATTAATCAGTTTTGTATTCAGGATTTATTTATTTACTTATTTCTCTTTTACTCTTCAGAAGAAGAAATGTTAGAGGTGAAAAGGAGGCTAGGACTATTGGGGTTCAGTGTCATCTTCCTAGCTGTGGCCAGTTAATGATTAAGGTGGGACTAGCACCTGGGGTCCAGATTCCCAAGTCTGAACTTTGTCCTTCCTCAAAACTGCTCAGTGTGACCTCTGATTCTGAAGGGCTTCCGCAAGCAGGTGTCTGAATGGTCTAAAGTGCGGTATTATTGAATATTTTTATAATTTCATTACATTTAAAGCATTCTTGACCTAAGCCAAGAAAGTATCAGAGTTTATGGATTGTCTTAAGTATCCTAACAATTTAATGCAAAAGAAACTTCTAAAACACAGATATTAGTTTAGTTACATTAATGCTATTCTTCATGAGTTCTAATTTATGCTATTAATATAGTAGCCAGTTGGTTTTTTTTGTTATAGATACTGCCATAGTAAAATTATTGTACTAGTATTATTCCAGATTATCGAAAATGTCATGAAGTGATTTTTTACTTATTTTAAGATTTTAGTTGTGTTTTTTTGTTTGTTTGCTTTTTGGTACTGAGGATCGAACTCAGGACCTTGCGCTTGTGAGGCAGGAGTGGTGCCACTGAGGTAAATCCCTGGCCCTTTAAGATTATTTAGTTATTGCTGGGGATTTAGCTCAGTGGTGCTGCTGCCTGCCTTGAAAGTGCAAGGTCCTGAGTTAGATCCCTGGTACAAAAAAAAAAAAAAAAAAAAAAAAAAAAAAAAAAAAAAAAAAAAAAAAAAAAGATTTGAAAAATAATATTTATGCAGAGATGTTAAATAAAATACTGTTAGCTGGCATAGTGGTGCACACCTGTAATCCCAGCACTTGGGAGGCCGATGCAGGAGGATTGCTGCAAGTTCGAGACCAGCCTGGGCTACATAGTGAGTTCCAGGTCAGTCTCAGCTACATAGTGAGACCCTGTCTCAAAAAAACCCCAAAAAAGAAAACTTTTAGCTGAAAATTGCAATTCAAAGGAGAATAATAGTTTTTAATTTAAAGGATTAGTCTAAAGTAAATCATTCAGAACTTGCAAAAAGAACAGAAAAAGATTATCCTGTACTTAAAATGTAATTGTGTATTTGCTAAACTTTAAGAGAGAGTAATTTAAATGATAATAATGTAAAAAGGTAATGGCTCTTGAGTTTGAAAAGACAATGAAAGGTGTAAATTGTGTGAGTCCCTGGTTTGTTTATTAGTTTTCTGGATATTAGAGTTAGAAGGGTACTTTTGTGTTTTGTTAATAGCATTATTGATTTTAAAAAAACACACTTAAATGTGAGAAATGTTGAAACAGTACAGGAAGTGGGGGAATTGGGAGTAGGGAGAAGAGGGAGTAGGAGTAATGGAAAGGTGGAGTGGAGACAGACAAGCACAGATGGGATCACTTTCATTTGTGGATGACTTGTGACCTCTTCAGATGCCTATGTGTGGGGAGCATCTCCTAAACCTCACAAAAGCACAGTTAAAAAGATAGTACTTGGAAGCCCAACCTTACTCAACAAAGGATAAATTCATTGTGGGCTGATGGCATGAAAAACTGTAACCAGATCAGCACACCTTTAATTAAATCCGTAAGTGGCAGTCTGTAGTAGGTTACTAAGGATCAGAAAAGCTAGATATATTTGAGGCTGTAGCTATATATGATCTTTGTTGGTTTACTTGATGGAAAGTCCTCCTAACTGGCTATTAATGTCAGAGGCAGACATTTAAGACTCATTATAGTGTCACCCAATATAGAAATTCCTCTATTTTTAATTAGATGGCTTTTCATTAATTAAAGTAAGTGACCATAGCCAGTTATGGTGGGGTGCAATGATTTAAGAACAACTAACCTAATGTGTACTGGGAATGCTCATATGTGTAGGATCGACTGCTGTGTAGAGATCTGAATATGGGCTTTACTGCTTTGTCCTAGCATGCATGCTGGTCGGCAGTGCTGAACCCTGAAACCCATGGATTTTCTAGGTTAGAATCAATAAGTATTTTGAAGTCCACTGGCCCATGAGATCCTGTGTTAGCTCTTTGATTAGATTGTAAATTGTGCACACTAACTTCAGGTTTTCTTGGAGGGAGAATCCTAGGAAGTGCCACAGCTTACAAATGGACTTCTTGGGTTAGCCTCGTTCCAGATTGAAACCATGAGACCATCCGAATATGTGTTGCACAGTGTCCCCAAGTGTGCTGTTGTAGAGCCGGATGGTCTCAGACTCCTTTGGCCCCTTGTTCCTCAGGCCCTCCACCTTGTGGGCTTCCTCTGTCTGCTTGTCCTCTCATCCTCTGCTCGGTGTCAGACTTGTTGTTGGAGATATGAAGAGAGCCGAGACAGTAGAGGAAGGGGTTTGGAGGCCTGGTGCAGATAATGGGAATAAGAATTTGAGAGCAAAAGAAAAGAGCGTTTGAAATATTTTCTTCAGTCTCCTCACTTTTGCTTATTTTATACTTCTGTTTGATTTGCTTTTTATCATTGTTTCGTTTTTGTTTTTTGTTTATTTTTTTTTTCAGAAACCCCATTTCATTTCACTTTGCCTAAAGAAGGTGATACAATCCCACCATTGACTGGCGCAACCCCGCCTCTTATTGGGCACCTAAAATTGGAGCCCAAGAGACATAGTACTCCTATTGGTGAGTGAATAAAGATGATGATATTTAAGGCAGGCATCCTGAGATGTCATGGTTAAAGCAAGTTATATTTTTAGACCTGAGGAGTTGGGCCTGACTGATAAAGTTGATTTTTGTCTCAGAAGAATAGAGCTGTGGTGTTTGATTCTATGATTTTACTCTCAGGAGATAGAAGTTCATGAGAGGAAAGAAAGGGTGGAGGGAAGGAAAAGGGAGAATAATTACAAGGATTTTGTTATATTATTTGTAAAGAAGTAGAATCTGCCAAGCAGTGATACTTATTTAATTTAATTAATTAATTAATTTATTTATTTATTTTTGGCACCGGTAATCCAACTCGGGTCCCTGCGCTTGCAAAGCAGGTGCTGGAACCACTGAGCTAAATCCCCGCCCTGTGATACTTATTTTAAAAGAAAGGAGGAGAGAAGATGTAGAGTAGAAGCGCTGTTTACTGAGTACTCTGGCTAATCAGTCTGCTGCTTTACAGGGCAAGAGAATTTAGGTCCTCCTTCCCTGATGCAGCCAGTAGACTTCTACATTAACCTATTTGTTTTCTCTAGTCAGTGCTGGGAGGTAACAGTCATGTCGCCTGGAGTCTCCTGATACCTATGCCTGATGCTGGCAGATGTGGGTTGGCTGAGGGCTCATGCAGCATCCTTTGTCCAGATGCAGAAGTGGATCTGAATCCTGTTGCTCCTCTAAGACCAGGTGTTAATACTAGTTCGTAGTTGTTGATACTTGTGACAGGATCTATCCTAGGAGCCCCTTCAGTCGTGCAGAATGGTGGAGCCAAACAGGCAAATTGATGTCCTAGAGTTGCTGTTTTTGTTGTTTTTATTTCAGTGTTCTTTCTTTCTTTCTTTCTCCCTGCCTCTTTTAGGCATTAGCAACTATCCAGAAAGCACCATAGCAACCAGTGTTGTCATGTCTGAAAGCATGGTAGAAACCAACGAAGCCATACTTGGGAGTGTAAAAGGCGATTCTGGGACTGCCCCAGAAGTGGATGAGAAACTTTGTCTAAGAATGAAATTGGTCAGTCCTGAAACAGAGGCCAGTGAGGAGTCTTTGCAATTTAGCCTGGAAAGTAAGTTTTGAGTAATTAGTAATCTTGAGTAATTAGTAGCTCCAGGTCACCTGGGAAGTATCAGTTATCTTTCTTTTTTTTTCTTTTCTTTTTGGTACCAGGGATCAAACTCAGGACCTTCCGCTTGCAAGGCAAGCGGTGGAACCACTGAGCTAAATCTCTGGCCCAGTTACCTTTTAATGATTGTTACTTTTACAACTATAATTTCATTCATTGTTTTTTGGTTAGTTCCTGTCCTGGTACTGAAGACACTTTTTTCTGTTACTGGGGTCGAACTCAGAACCTTGTGTTTGTGAGGCAGGTGTGCTGTCACTGAGCTAAATCCCTGGCAAAGACACTCTATTTTTTTTGTGTGTGTATTTCCAGTACTTTTAATGCATAAATATATATATTTTACATGGATCATATTGTATATATTATCTTGAAGTATTTTTAGTGACATATCATGAATGCGTCACTTCTGTCAGCATTAATCAACACCAGATTTAACACCTTTTAAGACTGTACATTCAAGATCATTTCTGAAATATATTTCCAAGTAGAATTTCAAGTCAAAGGCAATGCTTAAGGCTGTCGGTGCTGATTGCCAGAGACACTGTCTATTCACATCCCACCGGCAGCACCACAGTCCCAATTTCCCTGAATCTTTATCAGTTTTATAACATGTGCTGTCTCAACCCCTGATTCAGTACACTCTTAACCCCTAAGATTGAACATGCATGTATCATCCATTGGTGTTACTTCTTTTGTGACTTGTTTATTTAGAAAGTTTTCCCACTGGGATTTTTTCATGAACAAGCAGTATAAAGTGGCTCCATAGTAGAGCTGAGTTCAAAGTCTAACCTTACCATTCTTTAGCTGTGATCTTTAGCCTTCATTTCCTCATCTGCAAAGTATGGGCTACAGTAAGAAATAACTCATACACACAAAGCCCTTAGCAAGTACCTCTTACATCTCTTACTGACATATGTAGGAGCTCCCTGGAGAGTGTAGTTTTTTTACAGTACATCTCTATTCATCCTATCATTTTCAGTTTATTTCTCTGGAAAAGGAAGAAAACCAGAGTTGTATAGTTCTTATATGTTTAGTTATATTCTACTGTAGTTCCAAATGATACCATTCTTCCTTTTTTCATTTCTCTCCAAACATGGGCATTTAGCTTTCTTGCAATTCTTACTGGCCAGCACATACCTATATACATTCAAGAGGAGTGTTACTTTTTTATCTTCATGAAAATTCTTTTTCTGTGCACAGGATTCTGGATTTCTACACAGATATTTGATATGTCATCCTCCAACCCATTAGGCTATTGAATGGTGTGTTTTTCTGCTACTGATTAATATGTACAACTTTCCACCTCACACCAGGAACCAGCATAAAGCTCCTCAGAAGAGAAATCTGATGGAACATGCTTGTTACCTATCTCCTGTTTTCATTTCTCTTTAGCACTGATGATATTCTATTGTATAGTCTTGTTTTTACTTGTGTCTCCAAATGAAACCTGTGTCTCTATTAAGTAATTGGTTTTCTTATATAGAAGTAGTTCAGAAGACAGTAGAAAGTTTGCGGTTGTGATTTTCAGTGTAGATTTATGTTGATTCTTTTCCTCATGAATTGCAAGTAGTTCAGTGGGTACTGCTAGAATACAGAGAAGGCACATGGAGATGATATTAGTAGGCACCAGATTCCCAAAGCCTTTTACATCATGCTGAGAAGTTGAAGAACTTGAGGTAGGGGATTTATAGGATCCCATTTGCTTCCTTTTTTTTTTTTTTTTTTTTTTTTTTTTTTTTT